GGCGGGGGAAAAAAAACACAACACAAGTGCATCGATACACATACCCCCTGTATCGATCTAAATGTAAAGTTATAAAGCGGATTTGAGGTGCTATGCGTCTGGTCTGCTGCATGTCTACAGCGCTCTCTGTGTACTGTGCTAAAAACCGGGAGCATCAGTTGAACTGGCGTTTAATATGGTGATCTGTATAAGCAGTGCTCGAAGTGGAGAAATAGAAGTGTCGCTACTGTATTGACCGTGAGGATGGTGGCGGGCGTGTTGGGAACAACAGAAGTGCCTCAACAACACTGTCGGTACTGCGCACGCTGCCCCACCACTCTCGCGTGATGCTTGTCTCCGAGTAGCAGAGTCTTGGCAACTTGTGAGAAGTGGTGATACGATAAAGATTAAAATATAGAAGTGCCGGTGTTCTGACGAGTTGAGCTGCCTATCGAGACGTGCTGTCGAGCCTTTTGCGCATGTGCAGTTCCACCATCTTGGGATTAGGGTTAGGTTTTAGGGGTTAGGGTTAGGATAAGAGTTAGGGTTAGGGCTATCGATTAGCACTACGGTAGCCTAACTCGACAAAGTAGCTCAATTCGACAGAACACCAGCACTGCTTAATTTTTATTACGTTTATGATGACTGCGTATATGATCCCGCATTTACGCTTGCGACACCCCGGCACACGCCTCCTCTTTACCCCGACCTGCTGAACTGTCGTAAACGTGGAAATGATTTGCGTTGTGAACCTGCGGTCGATTACTTTTCCTCAAAGACCCGGATGTGTCTCAATAAGTTGAAATTGAATTTGCGAACTGAAAATTTTCCAGGTAGGATAAATGCATTTTCAAGTTATTGGAATTCAGATTCAAACTAATAAATTCAGATTCAGTTTTGTAATGGCGGCAACTGCAGATTCAAATATACAAAATTCATGTTCAGTTTCTAGTGGCAAAAATATCAGCCCATATAAGTAGACCTGCCTGTCCACCGACAGGGGGCTCTGTCTCGCTCGTGTATAACACTGGTGCAGTGTTTGGAGACAGTTTGGATAAGTACTGTACAGCCAGCGGTGCCACTCACTTCACATGTATATGTGCTGTCACTTCACATGTATCTGCTGTCTGTTCTCTCTCCCAGGTGGAGTCCGGATCCTGTGAGAAGGCTGGTAAGTGTGCCGTAGCACCAGCCACCAGGGGGTCTGTCTGTTCTGCCCAGTTTCTTCAAGCCCAATAATAATAATAATAATAATAATAATAATAATGCTTTATCACTAATAGAACCTCTCCGGAACACCAAGTGTCTTTGTATATAGTTTGGATTATGTTGTAAGTTTTTTTTTTTATTTCATACTCCCTCTGTAGACTCCCACACACCAAAGGACAAGAAGCCTCTACAGAAGGACTCATCACCCAAACTAGAGAAGCCTTTGAAGCGGCAAAGGAGTCATGATGAGTGAGTACATCATGTGCTGAAGCTGTTACTGTTAATGTAAAGTGTATTTTATTGGATATGTACAGAGTGACTGCTCTCCTTGCAGCTCTGAGTTCAAGCCTAAGAAGATAAAGGTTGAGAAAAAGCTAAAGAGGAAGTGGGAGGAAATGGAGGAGGTGAGTGATTGTGAGATCTTCGTTAGCTTTGCCGCTGTCATAGAAATGACATAAAGCCTGATTGTGCTGCATCTCTTTGTGTTTTTGACCACGTAGGATGCCAAACCCAAAAAGTCCAAAGATATGGATGCAACGTGTGATGGCAGGAAGAAGGCAAAGAAGGAGCTTGACGAGACATGGAAATGGTGAGATTAGAGGAACAGTGATCCAGGGTACCCGCAGTCATGGAAAACCTGGAAAAGTTTTGGAATTTTGAAATAATTTTCCAGGCCCTGGAAAAGTTTTGGAAACTAGCCTTGTTCATTTTTGTTTCCCACTTCGTTCCGCAACGAGCTAACAGAAATGTACGAGTGGAAGTCAATAGTTAACTACCTTGGTAAACATCTGTTTCCACGCAGATTTCGCGTATTTGAGATCGTGGCTTTTTTGCTTGCTATTCCAGTTTTTATGGTTTCATTTTTTTGCACATATTTCAATTTTATTGATCAGTTTCCTGTTTTTGACTCAGTTTGTCTCTACCAATCATAAGGTACATATAATTTTAATATTGGGATTAATTTTCTTAATAATTGAACGCTATTTGCACATTGGCTAAAGTTGTTTATTAGGTAAGCTGATTGGCTATTATCGTACCAAAAATTGTAATATTACTGTCATGCTGTATGCGGGACGCGGAGCGGAGACAGAGGAGCGGCAGTCAGGAAATTAGGGAACACGGGGTTTAATAAAAAGGGCAGGCAAGAAAATGACCGGACTGGGGAAACAAACTGAAACGCGGACTAAATACAGAGGGCTAA